TATCGATTGCTGTATGTCATACCGTTTTCAACATTTTTTGGTTGGTGAAATCTTTGGATTCTTGATCAGGTTTAAAATCTACAATTTTTGGACTTTAGCATATAGTCACGTGAATGTGTGACAAACGTATATACGCGCTAACGATGAAGACTTTACAGTAAAGGAGCGCGTGCACACTTGTGTTCACGTTGTTTACGCATACGACCTTTTAGCGGATCTCTGGAAAAGCTTTTTTGATGGTATCCAAACGTTTCTCCCCTAAATGAACTTTATTTAGAGTATTTTCTCCATTTCTGCCCCTATCCACTGCAAACCTCAACTAGTGTATATCATTCGATACAGAACTTCACGGGCTACAAAATGATATATATAATATTAAGAATAAATAGGGCCTGGGCGTCATAGTACTAGAAATACGAACCCACACCTGCACAAATCCATAGGTCAACAGCGTTCCTCGCTTATATTGTTCAGCCAATTTATCTGCAAGTTGGCTGCATCGGGCGATACCCGATCCTTTTTCCATGCTCGAGAAAGTACTATTTTTTGACAGTTATGGTAAAAGTACAGAAAGTTAAACGTTTTTCTCTAAAAAGAATGTTAATTTTTCTGCTTCTTGCTTTTAATTCCCGTTCACTCACGTCTCTTTAGTTATGGACTTATTGATGATTTTGTATGGAAAATCTCTCTGAGAAAAATAGTTTTGTTACGAAACCTAAAAGGGTATAGAGAAGTGTAACCATTTTGAAACCGTTTTAGGTTTCGTATGAATCCCTTTTGGGTTTCGTACTTCGACTACGAAACCTTTATGCTCATCAAAAACCATAAAATGTATCGTAGTCGAAGTAAGAAACTCAAAAGGGATTCATACGAAACCTAAAACGGTTTCAAAATGGTTATACTTCTTTATACTCATTTAAGTTTCGTAAGAAACCTATTTTTACTAGTGAGTATAAACACTACATTTAGAAAAAATTGGTTATGCACCTTGTGACTTATTTTTATTGATACTATCAATCTGAAAGATTTAATTATTATTTCAAAACAACTTACGCGAATGACCAATAATTTCATGCCTGTTTTTATAATTGATTTACTGTAACTCTCAATTTCTCAAAAGTACAGTAACTTTTAAAAACCTACCATCATACAGACTAGAAAATGGATTTGCGTCGACAAAATTCAGCAGTTTTAAAACAAAATGATTTTTGTTTGCTCAAAAGTATAAGGAACTATACGTAATTTTGACATGAAGAAGTGCGCTGTGTGCTGATAAAGCTTTTAATCTTTTAAAAGAGAAGAAAGCAAATGTTGAATGAGTTTCTAGGCTGTGTGAAAATAGCATTTTAAAAGTTACTGGACTTTCGAGAAATTAATAGTTACAAGAGATAGATTACACCCAGTTTTTTTGTGGTCTTTTCGATAGTATAATTAAAATCGAACGGCGATTGTGGCACTAAACCATGAGATCTGATTGACGAAAGTCACACGTCGCAAGTTTCGTTTTGGAAAACTGCAACTAACGCTACGATCTTTCCAGTATCTGCTTTTTCAAAAAAAAAAAACGTACGTTCAACTATTGAAATAATAAAAAGGGTAGCGCTATTGCCATATTCTATCGGTGTCAACTAGAGCTTCATCTAGAACTAACTATATAATACATAAGTATTTGGAAAGCTAAAGCAAATTCACACTATGTAATGCAAAACATTTTGTGTGAAACAGCTTTTCGAACGCACTCTCACACCGCTCTCATCCTCCCTCCCCCAATACCCACCAGAAATACCCAAATTTATATGGGTAAGTCTATTGACACCCCCGGGGTGCCAGCAACGAACTATTTAGGGCTCTAAGACCGACACTACGAAGCTATTGACACCCCATCGAACTGGCAGCAGGGACCTATTCACAGTCCAAAATGCACTTATATACTGCATAAATGTGTTATACAATAAAGACCATCATCTCCAGATAACATGGAAGTATTATAGTGGCTCACTTTCATGCACAGCCACCCCTATCCACCCGAAACCGCCTCTCGTAGACCGTGAAATTCAGAACTAATTCAGCATAACACTTTGAATAACGCATGTATGTAGTGTATAAGTGCATTTTGGACTGTCAATAGCTCTTGCTGCCAGTTCGATGGGGTGTCAATAGCCATTTCAAGTTTATATTATGAAAAATTCGCGGAACAGTCGTGTTACGCTAACTGACACCATCTAACATAGTACTATGTGTGGAGGTGGCAATAACTCTATTTGACACCCTTAGATGGTAGCAACAGATTTAGTTGACACCTTCTGAAGGTGCCAATAGCCATTCCGTAATAAAAATGTGTGAAGTGTATCTTTAATTTTAAGTAAAAACAATCATTGTCACAGCTAACTGACAGAAGAGTTCATAATATTCGTTCAATGTTCCACTAGTGTATACTTGATTAATATAATGACAGTAAACATTTTCACATAAAAAGGAGTTCTAGTTTGATTTTTCTTGTGTTGCTACCAGATTGATATAAGTTCCTTGTTTTTGCATTAATTTTTCATGGTCACCCTAAAAATGAGGTTTAAAAAGTCATCTATCAAAAAAGAAAAAGTTGATTACCTTGACTGACGTAAAACAATTTCTCAAACAAACGGGTCTCTTTAAAGTTTAAACCGAAAATAAAGCATTAATAAGTCTTAATCGAGAAAGTGCCACGTGTGATTTCGGATTTTCAATTATATTAGATCGCCCAGATAGTGTGGGGAATAGGTGCACGTAAACATTTTGTTCAAAAGTATTCTTATGCAGAAATCTGCGAAAATTCTTTGCTCGGTTCGGCCGGGACAAAAAAAGGTAACAAACTAAAATGTTACACAAAACCCATTCGAAAAGGTTTTCTAGTCCATCCCGTTCTTTTCAATTGTTTACAAAATCTTGCATCTATAATGCTCAATGCTTTCCCTGGCAAATCGGCAAAGAAAAGGTCTAAAAGAAAATTTCAAAAAACGGCCTCTGCAGTTGTATCTTGGGTACCTCTAATAAAATTTTTAACTCAATCAGTGGAAATTTAAGAGGAGTCGTAATGTGGTTCAACGCAGTAACGTAGCAAAATAATAATTTTCGAGGAAAAACGCAATTTGTGCACAGGCCACTTTTTTCAGGGCATTTGCCGCGATACTTATATCTCCACGAAAACTCCCGGGAAATTCTGGAAAATATCTCATTGTAAAGAAAACACTTCCTTCTATCAGACTATGTGTAAAAGAAATCTGAATATACATAGAAGGAGAGAAAAGTTTATGAAACTAAAAAATTGAGTTTTTTCAGCCATTGAAGGAAAAACTTCAAAAATGCATAACTTTTTGAAGAAAGGTCGTGGACTAGTCTCATTTTGTAGCCCACACTTTCCTCTGCATTGGGCTATGCTTAGGCATGCACCGGAACGGGAACATCCTGAAATTCCTGTGTCGCAAATTCCGAAAGTCAGAATCCCGAACTCGGGAATCCCAATATTCCGATTGATGACAAAATTTTGTTCTTGAGTTTCAGTTCTGAAAGTGTTAAAAAACTATCAGGCGCAAAGTCTATAAGTAGTAATAACTTCGAGACTAATCTAGGCATGCACCGGGCGGGAAGCTCATTACACCTTTCTCATTATTCTCACGACACAACGGCAAGCGACGGAAAATTTAAAATTCGGAATCTCGAGTTTCGGGATTATCGAGTTCGGGATTTCCGGCTTTCGGAATTCCCGACTCGGTGCATGGTTAGCTATGCTCAGCACAAAATCCGAAATTTTTTCGGAGAAAGACCGAGGGGTACCTTTAAACTTAGCACAAACAGATACACGTAATTCTATTCGAACTGCATTCATGTGACGGACACAGCTAGCCAAGTTTTCAATGAATCACCAAAACGAATGGTAGTTTTACGATCAGAAAAAAACTGAGAAGGAAGAAGATTATAGACAATTCTTGCGAAAAAAGATAGATTCTGTAGTGTAATTCTTGATGAACCGATCGTAATACTACTATATCAGATTAAGTATCTTATGTGAAGCTCCGACATTATCCTCCGGCATTTCATCGCTTATGTAGAAACATTCTTTCCTATTGTTATCGTTTATCACATCGTACATTTCAAGATGTAAGCGGTCAAGATTTTCTCGATCGGGTTGGCCACTCATATGTTTTCTTTTGGTCAGTCGAAAGCGTTTCTGACACCATGTCGAAGTCATTATCTATAGAATTGCAGAAGGCGTCTGGGACACATGGATACCTACTTTCTGATTCATAAACTCGATGAGCTCAAATTTCTACTGTCAACTGTCGAAGATCAGATGCACATTCGGTAGAAACTATTCACTGTGCTCGGTCTCCAACCACTATTACCACTCCTACTATACTATGCTATTGAAAAACAACATAAATAAAAATAAATTCTTCTATCTCTTCATCATCATCATCGTGATTCATCCATTATAATTAAATTAAAGTAAAGAAGAACAAGAGCGAAAAGAAAACGAAAAAAAACAAAATAACATAAAATGGCCGCAGCAGCAAGAGAACATTATGATCAATTGATTGACGATAATGTTAAAAAGATGTTGGAAAATGTAGAATGGATCGGTGATGTAGCGGAAGTACGCTAGTTTCTATTGAAAAACCCGGCGGTGGCGGTAGCTGATCTCGAAGAGTGAAACTCGACTAGTTGTGCAATACTCTACGCACAAAAGACCGGTTTATTCGTCACTGTTGGGCTTTTCAACCCAAAAACACACTCACCGTCGGGACGGTTGTCTTTTGTAAGACTGACGCCGTTTCGAAGTCGTATATCGATTCATTTTAGCTTGTACACTATTATGATTTTACAGCTTTTTTTTTCCGAATTGGGTTTAAATTATCCATTTGTTTGCTCTGTATTGCTTTGAATTTACTTCCTATCTGTGTCTGCATGTGAGAGAGTGAGTCAGCGCTAGTGTACGAGTGTAAAAACCTTATGGCGAGGAAGTGCTAGGCTTCAGGAAAAACGGCCATAGGTATCGAACCATGGATTTCAAAGATGTCGTTTGGATCCAATTTTGTCGCTGACATTTCAGACTATATATCCACGCAAAAAGATCCATAGATTTCTATGTCAGTTTTTAGAGAATCGAACTGATTTTCCACAGATATCCTGAAAAACGGGTTTTCAGGACTTTTTCTAAATTTGTTTTTGCTTATGAAAACGTTCATGTTTTGGCTAGCGAACGATGAAAACCGCAAGTCTCTATCTTTTATTCCTTTTGAGTTATTCAAAAAATAACCACCGGTCTTATATTTTGGCACAGATAATAGTGCAGCAGACATTAAAAGAAAAAGAAACAAGAACGAAATATTCACATAGTAGAGATTACCAGTCCTGCCCTCGAACACTGTTGACAAAAAAGAGAAAACCTTTAATCTGAAATATGAAAACGTTTGTTTTGCTTAGTTCAGTAAATGCATTGTCGACAAAGTACTGATTTTTCAGAAGAAGACCTAGTTTTCTATCTAGGCCGGTCGATCAAAAATTTCTGACCGGATTTCTTCGAAATTCCTTAAAATTTGTTTACTAATTGTTTGATACATTAGATGACATCGTTGTGAAAAATTAAAGGATGATAGTAAGGTGCCGGAAATTCGAAAGGTGCACACAAAAATAGATTTTTTTTAAATATACATGGTTGGATAGCCCGTGGATTCCGTAGTATAGTAACGTAGATTCCGAATATCACCTTTTTATTCACTTTTGATCAAGTTTTGGGGGAGAAATCTTCAAAATATTGAATACCACCTGAAAAGTGAGATTTTGACACTTTCGAAGTAAACTTCAGATTTGACCCAGTTACATAGAATTTCGATTTAACACCTTGATTACATATGTTAAAATACAGTAGTCTGCAACGTGTAAAATGCTAAAAACCAAATACTCTAAAAATGCTTGAACGAAGAGAGCTCTGATCCTCTTATGTCTAAAAGCGACTTCTCGAAACTCAAAATGTGTTTAGCTCTTCGGCAAAAGCCTGTGAAAGAGCCCTGTTACTACTACCGCAAACGCCTTAGGGAAGTCTCGATTCAAAATCGTAAACTACTCTTTGTCACACAGTTCAGAGTAGACTGCGCATATATATATAAACAAACCTCTTCTGTCACTTTCCCACGATGAACAACGACAATTTTGTCGCTAGTCTGGATCGTACTTAAACGATGTGCTATAGTTAAACAGGTTGTTCCACTAAGTGCTTTATGAAGACCATCTTGCACAATCTACGCAAAATATACAAAAGAGACATATATTTCAGGGATGTAGAAAATATGATACCAACCTGCTCAGTTTTCTTATCCAATGCGGAGGTAGCTTCATCTAACAAAAGAATCTTTGGATTTCTTAATAATGCTCTGGCAAGGGCAACTGATAAATTTAGAATAGATGATGTAGCATGCACTGTAAAGTTAATGAAATGGCTTAGTACTTCTCTGTTTTTGTCCACTACTGAACTGGTTTTCCATTGTTCCACATGAAGTGTCGTAGCCCTAAAAGGAAAAGAAATTCGACATACGTAATATTATTTAAGCAACACATGTGCTACTTGTGGTAATGATTTAATAAAGTCATGAATATTTGACCGTTTAGCAGATGCTTCGATTTCCTCTTGTGGAACGAATCTGCTATTGTCACCATAAGCAATATTTTCACGAACTGAGGTATTAAATAGAACAGGCTCTTGTTGAACAACACCGATTAGTGATCGAAGCCATTGAATATTAAGAGTTTTTAAATCGTGACCGTCCAGTGATACAGAGCCTTTTACTGGATCGTAAAAACGTTGAAGCAAGGCTATTGCCGTTGATTTACCACTGAAGAAAAATGTAAAACAATGCTTTTAATATTTATATGCTAGAACAGCTCTTACCTTTCCGGAGGACCAACTAGTACAGTTATACCGCCAGCAACACACTTAAGAGAAAAGTTGTCGAATACTTCTGAATCTGGTCCAGCTTGATATGAAAAATGTACGTTCTTAAATTCAATGTTTCCAAGCACTTGAGGCTAAAATTTACACGATAGTTTAGTAGATTCATATTTAAAATTCGTCAAGAATTTACCAATATAAGACCGCTTTCGTCATTTGGATTAATTTCTGATCGTCGTTCACTCAATTTCAGAACTTTTAATGCTGACGATTTAGCCATTCCAAAACTGGGTACCATAGCAAGCGCTTTTCCTACAGCTATTGTTGCAAATGTTACGATAATGTATATTCTTTGAAAAAAACAAGGAATAGTAGCTGTAATCAGCATAGGATTATATTTCTTTTGTTACCGAACTACGTGAGAAAAAGGCATTTCATCATTTAGAACTAGCTGCCGACCATAACCAAATACAGCAGCTTGGATTAAATAAAGGATTGAATTGGCTAGTGCGGCAGCGACAGAGATCAGATGAAGTTTATACATTTGCTTTCTAAAAGAAATTACCATGCATGACTATCGTAGTACTTCTCTTATTAAGAAGTCAGCAATGTTTATCCGGGAGTAGTTTTTTATATTAAACACTGTATCGTAAAAATATTCAGTCATATCTCATTATCTATGTATAGTCTGTACGTATCAGAGTTGGAACCGGTTGAATTTTTCCTAACCGGACCGGACCGGCCGGTTCAGCTTTTCGAAAAAACCAGACCGGCCAGTTTACCGGCCGGTTCAGTGCGTAGTTCAACCGGTAATAAACCGGCCGGTTCAGTTTTGGAGTTCAACCGGTAAAAAACCGGTCGATTCCATAGCAGATTAAAGTCCGGATTTTGTGAAAAACCGGTGCAGAAAGCTAAG